CAATATGTCTTTTGGTTGGTAGGACTTTTGTTAAGAGGAATTCTGAACAAGGCTCCATCCTAATAACCCCTACTAAATCAGTTTCTGTAAGGTAAGAGTCCCTTCCTTAAACAGCAGAAATGTTCTGGTGATCTAGGAATTTCATTGCATTTTCTTCCAGGCCAATTTTCCTGGTTTCTTCATATATTCCCATTAATGCTTGTGCCTTCTGCTCTCTCACAAGTTATCATGTGTTTTTTCTTCTTCCCTATTCTTTCCCATCTTCAATGTGGTCTTTCATCCCTACCTTTCTGATATATTTTATGTACCCTTACCCTCTCACCCTGTTCCCTGTTATTCTTTTACTTCTTTTATCCCAATCTAACCATACTCTGTCCTGTTCCTTCTCCCTGCTCTGATTTCTAAGTTGTTTCATTTTATTGCCTGTTTTGCCCTTTATGCATTACATGGCTGTAGCAGATTCAAAGACAGAGAGCCCATCAGAGACATAAAAACAGTACACTGTTTGGTTTAAACCAAAAATACCATTTGTTTGCTTATAGCATAGGGAAGTCACTCTTTTCTAGCCTGCAAGACTTGCGCCCAGCCCAGGAGTATAAGTAGTCATAATGCAAAGAGCTGAGTTACAAAACTAGATGGGAACAAGCTCAGAAATGTCACTCCCAATTTAACCCAGAAGTAGACACTTCTCTGCCGTGACTTTTGAAAACACTGAGAATTACATCTGTCATGAGTCTGTAATTCTTTAGTGATCTCATGGGACAGACCAGGGCTTGCAGGTAATGCACCCAGATCGTTGTTAGATAGTCAACACCACTGAATCTCAGGTTGTGCACTTCGGGTGCTCAAAACTAGGCACTGAAGGCTTGAAAGGGTGTAAGTAATTACAGCATTATCATCTTCAACTCTCCAGAAGCATGAAGGGAGTTTGCATAGATGCTGTAATTGTAGGATCTGTCTCCCCAGCCTTGGTTCTCTAGCAGCTGAGTGTCAAGGCTGTGCTATCTGTCTGGGATCTTTGGGTAGTCAAAGAGGGATTGGCACCTCTGGGGCATATTATTCCCTCTTCAGGTATACACAGGGATTGGCTTGCAGAGGTGCTTCTCTGTCTTTCACTGCTGAGTACAGAGGAAGCCCAGATACCTACCAGGCTGTTAGCTGGCTGAAATGAATCCCCATGCCAAAAGGTAGATGCCTGAACTATTTTTCATTCATGCTGGAAGTTGGTTTATTTCTTCAGGGAAAAAGTAAACATCAAATCAAAAGCCTTCATTACATGGTCAGCTGACAACTGCTTTATACTAACATTGCAGCAGGCACGATGAAAGAAGTATAGTCTAAAGAGAAGGTGAATGCTGAATTTAGCCAGTGGATCCGGTGAGAAGATCTGTATCACGCTGATAAAATTAAATGTGTTTACAGAACACTTGTCAGGTCTTGGTAAGAAGTTGGTATATTCAGACTTAGATGTAACATTGGCCATGAGCATACTCCATGTACTAGTCTCATCTTACATTTTTTATCTTGCCCTTTACTTTTGCTTCAGGCAAGAGAAGTTAATTATTCACATATGACCCACAGTAATTAGTGCAGTTTTGGATAAGTATAAATGAAGTATGACAGCTATGCACGCAAGGGTAAGCAAGTTTCAGTAGGAAACTTTCTGAGAAAAGATCACAGAAACTCAGCATTGCATAATCTGGACTTTTTTTTCAGGCAAGCTGATCTTGCTGACAGTTGTTTACCTGAGCAGGATGTGTTTGAGAACTTTTTTTTTTCCATTTACTTGATGATCTTGAAGGTCTTTTCCAACTGAAACAATTTTATGTGCATAGCCACTAAAGCATTCACAGTAGTTTGGATACAGGAGGGAAAGCAATGTTGTATTTTGACAGAAAGCTTTGTTGATTGGAAGGTATACTTTTTTCATCTAAATTAAAAATGAAAACAAAATATTATAGATAGCAACAGCTGCATTTAATTCTCTTGGAGTAACTCCTAATTTTTTTGAAGTATGCTATCATCTAGCTTCCAAATACTTGTCACCAGTGTCCTCAAAACTTAGTGTAGTGGTGTGGACACAGAGTCCACTGGGGGGCGAACTTGAATTATGTATCACCTCTCTGACTAGAAAAACTGCAAGTGAAACCTGTAATAGTTAGAGGATTTCATAAATCACAAGCGCTGATATTAAATTTCTCTTTCTAGTATCAGCTTCATGTGGTTGTTTTGCCAGATCATCAAATAAAGCTTTCAGGGCTCGCAGGCAATCTTGCAGCTCTGGTTTATCAACTCTTTCTGCAAGGAGAAACTGAGAAATTGGCTCACTGGAGTTGCATTGAGTTACTTTCTGCTTCGGTGAACTTAAAGAAAATTACTAATGTGTGACTCTACAAAGGAATAATCTTTAAAAATAGGAGAACCAGCAGCCGTGGGTTGTATTCCTGGTTCACATAAATCTGTGTTGCGCTTGGCATATGTGCTGGTCTCAGCTCCAAGAATGGGGAGAGCTGTAACTGCTGTTCCTGTGAGGTCTACACCCAGGCAGTCCTAGTGGGACTCACCTTCTTCAGTTTGCTGCTTTTACTTTGAAGATGGAGAGGGCAACAGCTGTAGCATTATTTTGTAATCTCTAATGGCTATTTCAGTCCTTTTAGGCAGTACTAAAGTTGCCATTTACACTTCCAGTGGGACACCTGAGCTGAGTAATACTGGTTCCTTCCACCTTGTGAACATCTAAACATCTGAAGCTGCTCATGGTTAAATACAGTTCCAGCTCATTGTGGCTAGGAGTTTAAAACACTGTGTGAATCACCCTGAAGAAGCCAACAAAGAAAGAAGATGCCTGCTTTAAGGTTATGTGGGACATAATTTTACTACATCTGATACACAAGACATTGCTCCCTGTCTCTCACCTAGGATTTTCTTTTATTGTAGTAGTAATCAGCATTCTGTATTTCTATGCAACCTTATTTCAGTCATTAGTTACAAATTTCTGGAGGAACATGACAGAGTGGCTTTCTGGGGTCAATGGCAGCAAAAGCCTGGGACTTTCCAGCTGGAATGAAGTGGGAATGGATTTAGGTTGTGAGTGTAGGGCATCCTATATCTACAGGTGTGGCTTTGCTCCTGCTTTGGAGGAGTGGAGGAGGCAAGGTTTGTAACCAGATCACCTTCTGTGGGACTCAGATACTGGAGTACAACTGCTGCCCTTCATCCGTGAGCCCTAACCAACACCGGGTCTGAATGACCCTTCTCAGTGCTGCTGCAGAAGAGTCTTCACCAGGCTCTTACAGAGACAGGCTGAATATAGCCCCCAGGCCAAGTGAATTTTTTAGTGTTTGGTGCTTTGTCCTTGAACAACGCCTGTATCATTCCTGAGAGATGAGAGCAAATACCTTTGCCACAGATGTAATGAAGCCTATTTGTCAGTGTCAGGGGGTCTTCAGCAGTGTTACGTGGAGATGGTAAACATCTCAGAAGTACAGATTTGTACCTGATAAAATGACAGCATTCTCTCCCCAAGATGTTCCTTTAGAGCTGGGTTGAGATACCACCCTAGAAGAGAGAGGACTCATGGGTACATGAGTGTTTTATTTAGTCTGTGCTTTTTCAAACATTGCATTCCTCTCTCTCACTGTTCCTCCATGTATTATTTTAATATAAAAGGGCCCCTGTCATTAGGCTTTGTTCACATTTTCCTTTGAGCACTTTCAGAGTGAATTTAAGAAGTCGGAGGCACTAAAGTTATTTTTGTTCTGTAGGTCTTAAAACTCCATTCATTACCTGTTGTTTTCTTAAAGTCTGTTTAATCCCTTTTGCTAGTTCCAGAGAGGTATTTACAGGTTTGTAATCCCTTCTTTAGACAAATACTGGGAAGAAGCAACATTTTAAAAATAATCCTTCTGGGTTTTACTTGAACTATGTAGATTTTTGGTCTTCTTTAAAATTAGCACCTCTTTGTCACCTACCCTCCAGACTGACTCTGCAAAAGCCCAGCTTTTCTTTCTCATGTCCTGTGTGCTCCCTAGGTCCTTATCCCAGAGCTCTCCATCCTCCACATAAATCTGTCGGGTGAAAAAACCTCCAATACCAGATCCACATGGTGCTCCAGAAACTGGGAATTTAAATAAACAAAGGCAATTTAGAAATTAATTTGCTTTAAGTAAAATAGGAGGTTCTATTTGTATTGGGTGATGCCTTTATTTTTTAAGAAATACTTTCTTTCAGTGTTTAAAATTTACTGCCAGTTTCAACAAACAGTAGAGCTTTCCAGTGTGGAAACTAGTATATTTCGTAGAGGTTTTCCTTTCTAGATTTGCTGCTCTTTCTTCATACAGTTTCTCTTTAGAAGATAAACAGATTATTTAATAAATGAAGCCTCAGCTTCACATTTCAGGACAGAAATATATTTAAAAGCAGCTGTCTGCTGGTGCTGAATGTACCAGGGTGTAAAGGCAGACTCACCAATGCCACCACAGCCTAGTAAGATGATGTAGAAATGGAAACCTCTGGATGTAGTGAGGTAGTTGTCTGAGTCCAACGATTTACAGGCAGGTGTCCATACCAGAAGGAGCTTGTACATCCAGTTCTCTTCCAATAGCTGCTCTGTGGAAAGTTAAATGATTTCATTTCTGGCGCATTTTGCGAGCTCTGAATTCACCTTACACACAGGGACTCATTCCTCTGCATTGTAGGTCTGATGCTGTGCCGATATGGAAAAGTGCCCATGTGGTTATTCCGAGGCACTTTGATGGGAAAGCAAGTCTAATTGCATCTGTGATTACTTTCAGTCTCTAGGTTATGAAAAATATTTGCAACAGTGCCCCTTGACTTTGTAAATATGGGGTGCATATGTGTTTTGTCTGTGTGTGGCACGAGGGAATAATGATAATTTCATTATGCAGAATAAAGTTTTCTCTAAGCCAACCATTTAGTACTGAATGCTCTACCTCCAAAGAACTGCAGTTCATCTAAGGTCTCAGGCATGATTGTGGTCTACAATGTGTAGCCCTGCAGTGGCTTGAAGGCGAGAAAGACCTCATTACTCCCATTGAGCTTACAAAATGCTTTCCCAGGTGTTGCACCCAGACCTGCAGGAGTAAAAACACAGTACAGTGTTTCCAAGTACTTTAACTCTTGCAGCCCACTCAGTCTTTGGCAGAGGGAACGGGATAGCAACTTGCTACTGAAGTGCCCATTACTGGTGATACCCCATGTCTTTCAGGAGGTGTGTCTAAAGTTGCTCATGCCCATCCTGTGGTTTTCAGGACAGCCTTCGATCAGAAATATAGTCCTTAAGAGTGGAACATGCTCAAAATTGCAAGTAAGCTTCAAAAAAGCCTTAGTTTTAATGTTTTACTTAGGTTTTCTTTTTTTCTGCTTGCTTTTTTCCGTGGGTAAAAGGAAACAAGAAGTAGATCCTGAAAGCTAGTGTTTTCAGTCTTCACTTTTTTTGCAAATAAGTAGGCAGAAACCTGGGTAAATTTTACAAAAACTTCTTGTTTCATGGGAAAGTGAAAAGATCAGATGACATCTGTGTAGGATGAGGAGTTATTTTCTGCACTTCTGTGTTTTCTCCACATAGAATATGAAATGTAGTGGTATTTTCATCACATTGACTCTAATGAGCTTTTCCCTTGTCATGTGTGTTTTTGTCAGTTAACATTTTTCTTTAGTATTTTATTTATTTTTTCTGCTTCTTGTCATGATAAAATTCGGTATCTCTTCATTTGGAAAGCTTAATTCCATTCACAACTCATTTACTTAAGTGGGAGATGGTTTTTTTAATGCTCTGTTTCTGTACTCAGCCCAGCACACCAGTGTCCCATCCTCTGCTTGACTTCTAGCACAGTGCAAACAACAAATAATCAGCTGTGCAAAATTGTGTGAGACAAAGCCCATCCCTTGAAGCCTTTTCGTTAGTTGTTTTTCTAGTTTGTTCATCTGGGGGTTGATTTTTTTTTTTCATTTCTTTGACAGTTTTGTTTTATTGTTTTGTTTTTTACAGGTAGTGGAAGGTTTAAGTTTTATACTGTGAAACACAAGTATTTCCTCTTGATGGTCATGGTGGAGCAATGCCTGGAGCATCCAGGAGGAGTAACAATACCAGTATTGTAGGCAGGTAGAAAGGGAAGTGTCACTTGTTTGGTGTCTCCCTTGAAACAATAAAGGAAGGCTGTTTTATTTGGGGAGACCAGGCTGAAACCCAAGCACCCCCAGTTAAAGCAAGTTAGTGTGCAGGTCTGCTGGCACCCTCCATGCTGTTGGCTGATGCTGGAAGTACAGATTTGTTGCATCACCCTTCCCAAATACTTTGTGAGTGAAGGCTGCTGTAGGAGGCAAAATCTCAGCCTTTCCCCACAACACTGGAAATGCAATAGTTCCATGAATTTGCTGTGGCTGGAGGGAAGAAGAAAACTTCCTGCCATCCTCCACTACAGATAAAAGATATATGCTAACTATATATATATAT